CGTCATCTAAATGATAATATATGACATTTTTCTGATAGAGAATTATCTCAGCTACAACATATCAAAATCTGGGAGAAGATCGATGACCGATAAGTGAGATAATTTCAATTAAACAAAGACAAAAATTACGTCATCAACAAAATACATTTGTTTGAGTTTAGATGCCAATATGATGACTTTATTTCACTTTGTACGAGTCAAAGTGGTATGAAATCATATCTCCAACTCATGCTTTTTCCAACCATGATATAAAAAATGGGGGTCAATGGACTATCTGAAAAGCTATATCGATTTTTAAAATGGCATGTTTTTGATGAAATTTGCATTATATTGCCCATAGCAGCACGCGCGGATTTTGAACTTTGACGCACGCTCACGGCCTTATGAAATATGAAGAGTGACTGAAATTAATGTAAATTGTTAATTACATTAAGAGGAATCCAAATCATGTAAACATTTTGAATTTGACCTTTTTCGCGCGCTGTGAGCGCGCACACCGCGCGCGGGGACACAAACGGACGGAAAATGTTGAAATGCTTAAAATGACCTGATTCGTACTCTCGTTTAATAGTTAAGTGATTTTGAGCAATTTAAAATTTTGACGCGCACATACGCGCGCGTCATGACCTTTATGTGACCTTTGATGACATGACCTGTTGAGCCTGGACCTAAAGTATATGTGATATGAATATGAATGACCTTTGCTGATGCATCATGAAGATATGATGGATAACGTGATTTCACAAAATGGCGCCTGGATGACGTCACGATAACCTAATGACCTTGAAAATGTTCCTGTCACGTCTCATTACAATGACCTATAATTGTGCCGAAATTTAATGAAATTAACTAAACCAAACTTGAGTTATCCGGGCCACAAAAAACGGGGAGAAATAAAAATAAAGAATAATAATAATAATAATAATAATAATAATAATAAAGAAAATTCTGACGAAATCAATAGGTGGTCTGTTGATAACAGACCACCTAATGAGAAAGAAAGGGGAGAGAGAGAAGATAATATGAATTGAATTGGATTCTGAAAATGTCAATTGTGTTTGGGAATGAGGGAGCTAAAATAAGAAGGTTCATATTTGACAGTACAGTGAGAAAAAAGTAAATCACCAAATACAATAAGAAATAGAGAGAAACAGACAGGCTTCGTTCAGTTGGTTAACCTTTCTTAGTAAAGGGGTGGAAAGTACATATTTTGGAGTAAAAGAGGTCTGCGGTTTTCTTCACATAATAATGATTCCTACAATGATTAACCAGAATCCATACCAACATTTTGGTATGGAATCATAACTATACTTCATGATCTATCAGAATATGAAATAAAAATGAGGTTAACCAGGCATTTTGAAGAGATATCCTTGATTGACCCCCACATCCCCTTGGGACCAACATACCCCATTTGAACAACTTTAGATCTCCCTTTCCTGCAAGTGACTCCTACAAATTTTGGTTAGAATCCAGCCATGGTTTCTCAAGAAAATAATGTGCAATAACAGCCACTGAGGAACTTAGGGGTGCTGGCTCTAGGCCCCTGTACAACCAAATTTGAATAACTTTTGATCACCCTTGCATAAGAATGACCACAGTTTGGTTAAAATGCAGCCTTGTATTTTAGAAAAGAGGTTGGGAATATAAACCAGAGGGTGTATTTTTATTGGGAGGAGGGTGCTACTCCCAAGCCCCATCCCCATGGAGGAGGCAGGAGCCCTTTAGAACAATTTCATAAACCCCTGCCTGAGGAATGCTTCCTATTGAGTCAAGTCAAAATCTACACATGAATTTTAAAGAAAAGGTTTTTCGTTTATTCTAATTATTGCCATTTGAGTACTTTGGGGGTTGTGATCCAAGCCCCTTTGGGAGGCTTATAGCTCATTTGAAAAACGAAAAACTTTAGATCTCCCTTTTCTGCAGGTAATTCTTACACATTTTGGTTAGAATCCAACGTTGGGTTTCCAAGAAGAAAAAAATGTCCCCTTTGGGATATATACCCACCAAATGAATAACTTTAGACCTCCCTTGGGTAAGGATGATTCCTACAAAGTTTGGCTAAAATCTGGCTATGAGTTTTTGAGTTGAAAATGTAAAAAAGTTTACAAAAGACAGACAAAAAGCAATCGCTTTGGCTCAGGGGAGCTAAAAATATTAAAGAAAAAAAAATAGTTTGTGTAAAAAATTAGTCATATCATCTTAACCCTTGGAACTATATCGATTTATAAGATGATGAAGCAGATTCTAATCAAATGATTGGTTGAGAGCATACACGTGACCAGGCATTTATTTTGCCCAACACGTAATTTTACTAATGACCGGTCATAGTAAAATCATGTTATAAAACATCATTTTATATAACAAATAAAACATCATCTTATAATACAAATAATACACATCATTTTCAAGTTGTTCGGGCAGTAGAAAAAGTACCCACTCTCGGTACCTTCAAAACACCCTCGGCTATCACCTTGGACGTGTTAGACTGTTCCAAAGGTACCTTGTGTGGGTAAATCTTACTAATGCCCTCAATAATGTGTATTATTTGTATAATAACGCCTGGTCAATAATTTCATTTAATTTAGTAAAGGTATCATCACTCCACAAAATTAGGATTTGAACACATATAGGCCATTCATCTTGTATGATTTTTTCTTCAATATTTTTTTATTCAATACTTGAATACATGAAAATTGCATATATTCATTTCATAAATACATATGAAAAACCAAATACACAGAGCCCAAGAATTGGCGGGGTAAGATATGTAAATTGATAATTTGACTTTTTAATGTCTAAACTCATTTTACTCTTTGCATCATCATTTTTTTTAAAATCCACTGTGATTTAAAGCAACACATCTGAACGAGGCTGTTTGGTCACTTGATGTAGAATACATTAGCGGGTATGCTACGAGTATGCTACAAATACTGGGTATCAGTAGTATCTATTGAATTGCCATTTGGTCTGACCCATTCTTTATTCTGGCTTTCATCTATGTACAATCATTAGGGCCCCGTTTCATACAAACTTGATATCGATAACAAGTTACGGGTACAATAAGCTTCATCAGCTACCGAATTCACTACATGCGATTGGCTGAGAGCAAGTTTGTCATAAAAGTTGTAGCATTTGTTATTGATAACAAGTTTTATGAACCAGGGTCCTGATAAACTAAATTCTTAGACTTGGTCATTAAATTAATAGGACAAAATTGCTGGGACTTGCCCATGTTTCAAAGGGAATAAAGTTATTCTTGTTCATCTTTAGGAATTACATGAAGGCAACTTTCTGAAATCCTTTGTGTAAATTCAGGACAAAGGTACTGAAGAGACGGCATTTTCCTGTATGTATTATACACACAATGTGGAATCGTCCATACATGAATAGATAACTACCGGTAGTAATAATCCTAGCACTTTTGAGATACTGATATAAAACTTCATGGGCTTAACTTTGTTGGTTTATTCATCGTAAGATGCAATATCTACATGTATATACCACGTTTCATGTTTTGCCACTCCCTAGCCAAGATCTGGGAAAGGGGGTGGAATCTGCACCTCTCCTTCTACATAAGTCTACCACATCCTGCCTTCTTAGGGTTTATTCCATCATCTGGGGGTGTTTCACAAAGATTCTAAGTCAAACTTGACTCTAAGTTGGACTTAAACATTATGGAGAGCCATTTGTAGTCTTAAGATAAAATATTTTCAAAAGCACAAATTCAAGTATTTTAGACTTTTTATAACTTTCACATCAAGAATATGAAATCTCCTTGACAATAGAAAATATAAATGATTTTAATCAACATTTTATGCATTTTAAAATAATTTTTACAAAATATTTTCAAAGATGCCAACGTCTTTCCATAATTGTTCCCGCAAGCAGCTGGCAACCAAAGCTGCCAGAAATAGAGATAAGTTCAACAATTGGATCTTTGTGAAACACCCCCAGAATCAATTTACAGATAAAGTTCAGTTCTGGTAATACAATTGCATTGTGAAAGAAACTGTGTGGAGGTGATTGGAAAAGCTTGATCTTGTAGCAAATATAACTATAATTATATTGTAAGGTTTTGGAATCATGATCAAAATGATTGGCCCCGTCTTGATAAAAGTCACATGCACTGTACACGGAAATGTGTGTATGGGACTACACTAACAGTGGCATGAGAGCGTTTTTCCACAACCTTTGGCTGTTACTCATCACAGTTTGAATATGAGGGCATTTGAAGAACCGTCTTTCTCAAAGGATATTTCTTCCTATGATACTCTTCCACACAAACATCAAGAACAACAAGACTTCCAAAACTCAACCTTCTCTTAAATCTTCTATTTGTTATAAAATATTATTTTGAACTTTCCCTTCTCTCTACTTCTCTCATTGTCTCTCCATAATCTTCTCTATCTATATCACCATCAGACAAATGTCTCTTTATCTTTTAAACATATATCTAATGGGGAGTGTTTCACAAAGACTAAGATCGACTTCGAGTTGGACTAAACTATGACAGGCCATCCATGCCACCGTTTGCTCTCACCATTATGATCTTAAGATAATATTTTTTCCTTCAATAATGAATTATCAACACAATGTAAATTCTGTAGATTTGTGACCATGATTTGTACGTCCGTTGAGAGACAAATGCCAGTAAATGGTGACAGCAAACAGTGGCATGAACGGCCTACCATATTTAAAGTGACTCAGTAACATTGTCTCAGATTTTGAAGCAAAATCCTGGATTTAGCTCATGCTGCAATGATAATTATAAACCTTTAGGACATTCAGGAACCCCATGACCTTTACAAGCCGATCGCCTGTCTGATTATCAAGACATTTATGATTGGAAATCGACATCAAATTTTGAGTTTTCCCAACGGTTTTTATAACACTACAGTCTATTGGGGAAAATGAGTATGGTAAAACTGGTCACTCAAGAATTTTTAATTACTTTTTTGAGGCACTTCATGATCATTTTGAAGCGCAATTTTTCTAGGGCTTCAATATTACACCACATCACAAACACTGATAACACGTAGGGCCATGCGTCTCAGATTTAACATTGTTAAACGATGCCTGTAAGTCCAAATTCGAGTTGATCTATTCTTAGTCTTTGTTGAAATACTCCTCTGGTTTTGATTCCATGGCTGGATCAGATAGCAGAGCCTGGGCTTGATAGCATATCCTCCTCCATCATAATATCCTCCAGCAGTTTCCTGGAAAATAAAATGGTAAAGCAGGATTCAAACATTAAAGGTAAAGACCAGTTATGGTCATGCGATTGCATTGTGAAAGAAACGTTGGAATCGATCAGAAAAGGTTGATCATCTAGCATCTAGCATCTGCAAGGTTCTGGAATCATCAAAATGATAAGAAATTTGGCTTATTCTTCATAAAGTTACAAGCACTATACACAGAAAGATGTATATGGGACTACCCTATATCTCTCACAGACCATGAGAGAAACAAATTTACCAAATATATGAATTAGTAGGGGGTTTCCCGGCAATTTTTTTACATGATTGGTAATGAGAGCTTCCATTTCATTTTTTGAAATTGGGGCGTTTCCAATACTGGTCTTTACCTTTAAAGAGAAGGTCGAGTTCTGGGGAGAGGTGAAACGTAATTTGTGAGCATTATCATTGTATTATGCAAGTGTGGAAGAATATCAGAGAGAAAAAAAATGTTCCCTGAAAAGCATTGCTCTTGAAATGCCTTCATATATTAAATATGACAAGTAACAGCTTAAAATTGAGGCCCAATTTTTATGCCACATGTTTGTATAGTCCCATATACATCTTCTGTGTACAGTGCTTGTTACTTTACCAAGACTGGGCCAAATTTTGTATAATGTTGATGACTCCAGAAGTACACACCAATACTTATATGCTGCATGATCAACTTTTTCTGATTGATTCCACATCGTTTCTTTCACAATGCAATCGCATGACCAGAACTCAAATTTGTCTTTAAATGTGAACAGAAATATTGCAGAACTTTCTGGCGTTGGCTTAGGTGACATTCAGTGTAACATACTGTAAACATAAGGGCATAAAAACAAGACATGATTTGGACCTCTTGACAGAGTTTTCTAACTCTCCTTATACAATATTTAGATCTGTATATATGTTTAAACAAATGAAACTCCTCCCAGGAAGCATTACATTTATAAAATATTTAGGTCTGCAGGCATTTTCATTTTGTCAAAACAGCAGCACTTCTTTTATGCAACCAAAGAACCTGAATATAAATTTCTCAGGATTTGTTTATCTTCTTGACAAATGATGTATTACTCAATTTTTGTCTTGACGTAGAAGCTAGGGCAAACAGGGAGGGGTCTTTGTAAGCTACCTTTGTTGATTGTTAAGCCTGAGATTCGTCTTGATGCTGTCTGCTAATCCGACTGATCCCGGTAATCCACTTCCTACCGCCAACCCCAAGCAAGACTGGAGGAGGATAACAAGATTAATACATGAGGTAAAAAATAATATCAATAATCATAGTAATAATAAAGATGATGATGATGATGATGATGATGATGTTGATGATGATGATGATGATGATGTTGATGAGATAATACTAATAACAATAATGATAAGAAGAAGAACAACAACAAGCAGAAGAAGATGAGAAAGAAGAAAGGGCAATAAGAGGATGATTATGATGATGATAAAAATATAACACTACAGTCTATAGGGGGAAATGAGTATGGTAAAACCAGTCATTCAAATATTATTTACTTTTGGCACTTCATGATCATTTTGAAGCGCAATTTTGTTAAGGCTTCAATATTACACCATATCACAGACACTGATAACATGTAGGGTCAGGCATCTCAGATTTGGCTTTGTTAAACAATGCCTTAATACATGGGCGGAGACAAGCAGCATACAGTACAATCTACAATGTAAATAGAATGTGTTGCTTCATTCATGTCAATGGGCTGTAGCAGTGTTTCTGATAGGAAACAAAATTATAATTATAATACCTATACTAAATTAATTTCCTACATACAAAATAAGAGAGCAGAAAGAACTTGTTGAACTTACTAAAGCCTTTGTTGTATCCTCCTCCTCCACACACAGCTGTATGAAGTCTTCTAGTAAAGCAATGCTGCAAAACAAAATAATTGTATAAAAAATAGTTACCAGGGCTCAAAATCTGCAGCTGCAAAGTGCCAATAACCAGTTGTACGACTCTTGCTCCTGTAAAAACTGTTCCGTGCAACGACCTACTCTCACCAAATTCCTGAATTAAACCATGGACCCAAAGCTATACCTAACCCCAACCATACCCAAACCTAATCTGAAATCAATTGTAACCCTCGGCCTAACTCTGTACTTTAGACAAAATAAAGCTCTCAGCAATTGTAGCTGGAGCAAAAGTTAGAGCAGTCATTGATCACCTAAAATCCTGCCAAGTAACATGTCTAGTGATCCAACGTATGCTCCAGGGGTGTTTATTTGGGGTTTTATTGAGTCAAAAGTAGATTTTGTGTTGGAGTTAGGGTTAGGTTTAGTGTTGGGTTTAGTGTTGGGTCTAGTGTTGGGTCTAGTGTTGGGTCTAGTGTTGGGTCTAGTGTTGGGTCTAGTGTTGGGTCTAGTGTTGGGTTTAGTGTTGGGTCTAGTGTTGGGTCTAGTGTTGGGTCTAGTGTTGGGTTTAGTGTTGGGTTTAGTGTTGGGTCTAGTGTTGGGTCTAGTGTTGGGTCTAGTGTTGGGTTTAGTGTTGGGTCTAGTGTTGGGTTTAGTGTTGGGTTTAGTGTTAGGTCTCGTGTTGGGTCTAGTGTTGGGTCTAGTGTTGGGTTTAGTGTTGGGTCTAGTGTTGGGTTTAGTGTTGGGTTTAGTGTTGGGTCTAGTGTTGGGTTTAGTGTTGGGTTTAGTGTTGGGTCTAGTGTTGGGTCTAGTGTTGGGTCTAGTGTTGGGCTTAGTGTTGGGTTTAGTGTTGGGTTTAGTGTTGGGTTTAGTGTTGGGTTTAGTGTTGGGTTTAGTGTTGGGTTTAGTGTTGGGTCTAGGGTAAAAGTTTAGAATTTGTTTTTTTTGTAAGAAATCGACAGTGCAGGGATTGTTGCAGGAGCATGTACAAACTCTGCACATCATAAATATAGATCAATAAAAATGAATTTTCAATTGTTGTGTCAACTAGATACCATTTTGAAATGGATGTTTAAGTATTTGAACTTCATCATTTCGTCTCAGAGTACTATAACCCATTTCATAAAGTTATTTTTCAATGAAAAAGATCAGTGAAAAATCTGATGATAACCAATCAGAAGCAAGGATTTCACTAACTTATAACAAACACTGTCATTTGTCACTGATGACAAGTTTTGTGAAATGGGGCCCGGGAGTGGACTAGTGCAGGTCAAGTCAATGACAGGGCATGCACTGGTGAAATTCAAATTATCAAGACTATCGATAAGAGGGAGTAATGGACAGGAGCTACATCATCTTGAAGTTCACCCCCCCCCTCTTCTCTCTCTCTCTCTCTCTCTCTCTCTCTCACTCTCTCTCTTTCTTTCTTTCTTTTTCTTTCTCTCTCTCTCTCTCTCTCTTTCTCTCTCTCTCTCTCTGATGTTTAGTGCATTTTATGGGGGTGGCCTTATTTTCAGCTTCACTTTACTTCTCACTTATTTCTCTGTTTTCTTCTTCTTCTTTTTTATTTGTGTATTTTTCCATTTGATGGGGGATAGGGGGCACATATGCTCCCTTTTGCTAAATCACTACTACATCACTATTTGCCAGTGCACTATGAAATGCTGCCTTCATACAAACCAATGTCATCTACATTCAATTCATTAATATATTCATAGTACACACTGTATTACCCATAATTTATGATGACCTTCTTTCCTAGTAATCTTTTGTCCCAATCAATCATTCACCAGATTAAATATTTATAAAAGCGTTAATAATGAATTATTCAAAATGAAATATTAGCATGAACACACTACTACATGTACATACAGTGTACAAAGTGGGTGGTAGTTATGTAATATATTTTTGTTGATTGTTTATAATTGTACTCTCGTTTTTAAAATGCAATGTATATCCATGTGCAATTCAGTATGATTCAATAAATACCATACCAAATAATTTGTCCTACTCCCATATTTTTTCTTCCCATATTTATTTTGTTTTGTTTTGAACTGTAAGCCTCTAGCCCCCTCTCTCTAACTCACTATATTTCAACATTCTTCCCATTTCCTGAATAATATTCATATTTATTTATGCATTCTCTTCTCTTCGGAACTGTTCACCTACTTAGTCATTGTTATCTTTTCCCCCTCTGTCTGTCTGTCTGTCTGTGTGTCTCTCTCTTCTCTCTCTCTCTCTCTCTCTTTTTGTTTTTCTCTGCCTCTTTCTGTCACACACACACACATACTCTCTCTCTCTCTCTCTCTCTCTCTGTCTAAAACTGTCTATGTCTATTTCTCTCTCTCTCTCTCTCTCTCTCTCTGACATCAGTCCTTTTTTCTTCTTCATCCAGCTAATGCTTCTTACATCTAATACATTTTTAATCTACTTTAGGAACTCTTCATGTGTAACCTTCTCTGCCTCCCCCCAACCAAACTGTTTTTCTACTGAAAATGAAAAATCTTAACATGTAAAGTACACATTCACACTTTGAATTATTTTCCAATAAAGCTTATGATATCAAGCTATAAATAAATATCAAATTAAATAAAGACAATTGTGACACAATATTTGGAAAATATTGTATCTAGTCCAGAAAATAATAGGCTCATTAAGTACCAAACAAATGATACAAATCAGGATTTGAAAATAATACTGACAAGGGCACCTTGCACACAAAGTCCAAATTTCAAACAAAGTCTAGATTTCTGCCAGGAACCAATGTCAAAATGTTAACATGTTGAGACTCTATGCATAAAGGCTCTTGACGCTATTGAAGGAAGAAAAAAAATAAGCCTCCATTCTCATAATATCACTGTATAGTGGTACACTTCTTTTTTAAAATTTATTTTCTTCTTCCAATAAAATGATAATGGTACTTTGTCTGGAGCAAGCACTAATTACTCTTTAGAAGTTATCAAAAGTTCTTCCGGTACTTTTATTTCTCCGGGGAATCGATCTTAGCACCCATTTTTTTTTATATGTTGTCTTTTGTTTAACAATTTAGGAGCAGTAATTGTCCATACAACAATGCTTTACCCTATTAAACTCAAGATAGTATAACAGAACACGCTCATATCATATTTCTATCTTGGGCTGCTAAAGAAAGTAAAATATAATGACAACCTTTTTTATTAACTTATGATTTATCTGCAGCAAGTCTGGCGTGGGATCAAAGATTATTTCACAAAATCCGCTAGGGATTAGTTTTAAGACATCACATGGCATTGGAATAAACACACAATATCATTATGGTCTTGCAACAGATCATGCTCTCATTATATTTCTATCTTGGGGGCAAGGATGACCGGATATTTCATGGAAAGATTTGATAAAGAAGGAAAGCAGTAAGGTTGGTCTATTAAATGAGGAGGATGCTCAAGACAAGAATAAGGAGAGGGAGAGAGTGTCATCATAGCGCGAAGTTCACTAACCTCTCGTAAGAAGGAAAATGCTGACTTTAATATTGTGATGAATGATGATGCACTGATCAGTCAATAAATTTAAAAGTCATGTTTAGGGGACTGCTCTTTAATGGCTATGAAAACAGGAAACAAATTTAGGCTACCCAACCATGGGTACTTGTAACAGTAAAAAAAAAAATCCAATGGATATCATAAGACTGTCAAATATTGCAAAAATGTAACAATATAACAAAATGATAATGATAACGTTGATAGTATACAAATATACAATGACACTTGAGGATCTAGCTGAACCTATTTGCATCAAAGGAACATCGACTACAATAAATCTCTGTGTATAAGGCGCACCTCTATTTTGGGGGCAAAAACCGAAAACCCACGCGGGGAAGGACCTTCATTTTACATCGAGGTGCAGTTGAAGGCGCTGATTTGTGCTCGTGAACTTGGGGTCACAAATAATAGTTAATAGTTAACATCATGGCACTAGTATCACATGAAGTTCGTATTTCAACATTCATATTTTACCAGAGTACATGTACTGTACATGGTAAGAGCAAAAATATTCATATGATGATCCCTATATCTGGACATGACATCTTTGCCTATTCTCTTAGAAATGCAATGGTTATTCACATCCAAATGATCAGATCACTTCATTCGCTTTGTCCTATCACAATCAACATCTCCATATCATAAGATGGCCTCCGTAGATACAGTCAAATGATTGGTTGCAAGTGTGCTATGTTGACACGCCCACAGTGATCATAATTTGCATTATCATGTCCGAATGCGCATACATGTTTATATTAGATAGCTTAGACAGATACCGAGGTGTGATTGGTCCAGAGCTTGTCACGTGATATCATTTGTGAGGATCCAAATTGTTATATTTTCCTGGCCGGTCACTTTTCGGTGTTATATTAACCAGCTGGTGAAATGAATATATTTTTAATCAATGCATGTCACCCTCTTGAGGACTGTATGTCACCAATTACACACATTACACCATTACCGAGGGTCATTTAATTTTTTCAATATTTTTTTTTCATGAATTTTTTTTTCCCTTGAAATTATTTTTTTCCACATTTTCTTTTTTTTCCCAAAAAATGCTTTTTTAGGTAATTTTTTTTTCCCGAAAAATGCTTTTTTTGGGTAAGAATTTTTTTTCCCAAAAATTTGTTTGTAATTTTTTTTTTCTTTCTTGAACTATCTCGACAGATTATTTTTCCGTAATTTCCGAAAAAAAGGGGAAAAAAAAAATTTCGGGTAAATTTTTTTGGACCCCCCCCCCCCCCCCACACAAAAAAAGGGCTATCTAATATAACAGTTATTGACTGGCAGGGGGTATATAACATTCTTTGGACCTGAAGGGAGTTATATTTCCCCTCGTGACCATATTTTCCCTCAGCGCTGCGCGCTTCGGGAAAATATAACCACTTGGGAAATATAACTCCCTTCAGCGGTCCAAATAATGTTATATTACACCCCCTGTCAGTCAATAACTGTATAATAGAGACACCGATCTACGCAGTGAAAGGGGCGTGTCAGTGAGAAGAGCCTGTGATTGGTCAAGATATTATCACACCTACAAAATTGTAATTTGCATATCACGTTCAAATGCACATAGATAGAGACACTGGATATACAAGTGCAAAGAGGGTGTGTCCAGCAAGAAGAGCTTATAATTGGTCAAGACTTGTTTATATCATCACGCCCCCAGTGCTCATAATTTGCATATCGCGTTCAAATGCACATAGATAGAGACGCTAGATATACAAGTGCAAAGAGGGTGTGTCCAGCAAGAAGAGCTTTTGATTGGTCAAAAGCACACTCACTATGTCTTACATGTAATTCGCATATCTACATGTACATGTAGCTTAAAATGAGCATAGTTCTCAACACTGGATGCATATAAAATGGAGAAAAAAAGGATGTTTCCAGACAAAAAGGCCCATTACTGCTTAAGAACATGCTTTGTCATTACGCCTACAGTCGTCCTGATTCGCATATCTGGATTCTTAAAAATGCATGCAGCTAATGATCATATTCTAGATTTACAAAATGGGTGGGGATGTGTCCAGTACTGAGAACCCCTACTATAACTACAATTGTTATGGAAATCTATCTTATCCTTCATAAGTATTTATGACGATACTTATGACTTCTGACGTGACCTGGAAAATAAGTATTTCTTGATCTTTAGGGGTTCTATTCCTAATCTATACATCCTCCTCCTCTATACCCCCTTATACATATATTATATGTTATATTATCTTTTGGTTCATAAGTATTTATGATGATACTTTTGACTTCTCATCTGACCCGGAAAAACAAGGTTTACTTGCTCTTCAGGAGTTCTGTTTCCATTCCTACTCTATACATCATCCTCCTCTAAACCCCCCTTAAAGGCATCTTTTAATGATGTTAAATCTGAGATGCATGGCCCTACGTGTTATCAGTGTCTGTGATATGGTGTAATATAGAAGCCTTAAAAAAAAACGCTCCAAAATGATCAAGAAGTGCCTCAAAAAATTAAAATCTTTGAGTGACCGGTTTTACCATACTCATTTTCCCCAATAGACAGTAGTGTTATGAAAACCGTTAGGCAAACGCAAAATTTGGTTTCGATTTCCAATCATAAATATCTTGATAATCAGACAGGCAATCGGCTTGTAAAAGTCATGGGGTTCCTGACTGACCTAAAGGTTTATAATTATCATTGCAGCATGAGCTAAATCAAGGATTTTGTTTCAGAATCTGAGGCAATGTTACCAAGTCACTTTAAGGGTTTTCATTCCTACACTATACATCCTCCTCCTCTATACCCCCTTATACACATATTATATTTTGTTTCATAAGTATTTATAACGATACATTTGATTTCTAGCTTGACCCGGAAAAAGTAATACTTCCATAATTAGGGGTTTCATTCCCACTCCATACCACCTTTATTATTGCATAATACAATGAAAACGCTCACAAATTATTTTTCACCTCTTCCCAGAACTTAACTTTCTTTTTAACTTGCTCTTCAGGACTTTCGTTCCCACTCTATACATCCTTCTCCTCTATACCCCCCTTATACATATATTATATGTCATATATACATGTATATTGTATTTATGATGATACTTTTGACTTCTGGCTTGACCTGGAAACAAGGTTTACTTGCTTTTCATGAATTTCTTTCCCACTCTACACATCATCCTCTTCACCCCAACTGCCTACAGCACATCCCGTCAAGGTTAATGATGTATGTTTCATGCACATAAAATTCTACATGATATACCCCCCTTTATAGTCCACCAAATGTTGTCTTCTATCTGTCGATATACAGTCAAACCTGTCTATAGCAACCACCCAAGGGAAACACAAATAACTGTCTTTGTAGACAGGTTCCTTTAGTACATGTTTCAATGAGAAACCATTTTCAATGGAAAAAAATCATGTGGTCTTTGTAGCCAGGTGGTCACTAAGGCAGGTTTGACTGTACATGTTTGTATTGTATACATTTCTATATCATGACAGAGAGAAATACAAATCTAGATATCAAAATCAAAACTGATAAACGAAAAAAATGAAGAAGAAAAAAATCTTTCAAACCCAAAGTAGTATAGTAGCAAAGTACATGTAGCTCTTGCACAGAAAATCTCATTCCAACGTCATTTTCAAATAAAAAAATTGTTGTTTTGAATTAGAAAGCAATTAAGATAAGATAGCCTTTAACAATTGCTATACACCCTATCAAAGCTATACATGTATGCATGTTATAAGAACTAATACATGTTTCAAGGGGATGTTCACACAATTTCCCCTTACAGGCTTCACAGGGAGAAGAAATATGCTAGAAATACATTGGAGTCAAAATTTGTGATGGTCAAGACACAGACATTAAAGCAGCAATAATTCTTTGCAAGACAAAAATAACACTAATCAAGCTAGCATCAATATAATCAAATTATTGTAAATATGTTATAATTACCTTGGTACTTTATTGTCCTTCTTGATATATTGCAGTGCTCTCCTGTGAAACAAAAATTAAAGAAATCAAACCCATTAATAACCAAAAACCAGAATAACTTAAAGCCTGTCTGCACTACTTGTAGCTACTTGCGCCCTCTAATAGCAAATAATGCCGAAGCGGTACCCATTGGTCCCCCAGGATCCCCTTTTTCTTATGTTAATTGAAATCTGATTTGATGAGATAACCACCTGTCAGTGACCATGCAGGAAGGTCTAATCCCTCCTGGCCAAACTAGTGCAGACAGGCTTTAATAGCAACTGCATCATGCTGGTAAAGGTCAAAGCCTCAAAGGCATCAAATAAATAGAATTTCTTTAATAATATTCTCATACATGAATACATGCATGTATATTTACAAATTTTCACTTTATTTAATATATACATTCTAATCCTTATCCATGAATAATTTTCAGTACAATGACAAGGACTGGGGCCCATTTCTCAAAACTGTCATAAGTCTAACTTCTTGACTAAATCAGCGCTAGTAAGCTACCTGTCCGCTACGTGTTTCTTGAAGCCCTCTTTGCCAAGATCAAGGACAACATCCTGACTATTAAAGGAGTAAATCCTTACACAGTAATCAAGGGAACACATAGATCATGACAACTACTACAAATACTACGACTACTACTAAGAATATTGATCTCTTGTTAAGGGCTTTCATGGTTTGCTCGCAAGAGTATTAAAGCCATTCTGAGACTAATGTAAAATCTCATTCTACCAGTATTCACCATGATAACAGTGTGAAATATACCATGCAGTGGCCTATGGACCAATAGTGAATGTTTACAATGTAGAATGGACATTAAAAATACATTAGGAATATTAAAGTTAATCCTCAACATATATATCACTTGCTAAGAGCCAGAAGGGGGTTTTCTCATCTTTAAACACAGCATTAATGTCCTTCTTGCTCTCAACAGATTATATTTCGTGTAGGCCAATGCCTAGAATGATTAAATTTGCAAAATGCAAACAGATTAATTTAAATAATCCACTGTAATGTACTAATATTAAAGTCTAACATACTGGAAACAAACACTATGAAATGCGAATGTGAACATTGATAATACCATGTAAAAAATATATAATTTAAATATTATCATTTATTCTACTTACCATGATGCTTCTAGTTCCTTAGCCTGAAGACAAATACTCATAAGGAATTCAAGCGTCAAAGAACCAAACCTAAATAACAAATCACAAACAGAAATACCACATATTACATGACTGGAAGCAACCCCCCCCCAAAAAAAAAAAACAACACACAACAACAACAACAACAACAAACAAAAAACAACAACAAGAGGTCCATGGACCTTCTGCTCACCTGAGCAGATGAAAGTAAGAGCCTCACAATAAGGGACCTAGCTCCCACCCCCGTCGCACAGGGAACATTGAATTTATTGGAACAGTAGAGCAATTTAAGGGTGCTGCTCCCAAGTCCCTGCAGGTGCAGGTATCCTATTCAAACAAGTTTAGGTCTACTTCACATACAAATTATTCCTACAATGTTTAGCCAGAATCCATACCAACATTTTGATATGAAATCATATCTACACTTCATTATCTATCAGATTATAAAATGAAAAAAGGAGGATAACCAAGCATTTTAAAGAGATATCCTTCATTCAAATGGAACAATGTTTTATTACCATTTTTGAGAGATTTCAAGATTTGTGCATGCTTACATTTTAAAGTTTGCCGCGCTCCCACTGCTGTTTGGATGGTGGATATCAAAAATTGCCCAAAGCCCCCGGGAGGGGAGGGGGGGGGGGGGGGATGGCATTCCCCCATTTGAACAACTATAGATCTCCATTGCCTAAGGACGATTCCTACCAAATTTGGTTAAAATTTGGCCAACACTTTTGAGAAGAAGTCAAAAATGTAAACCAGAAGGCATTGTTATTATTATTATTTCTGTTGGTTGGAGTGCTATTCCCAAGCCCCCTCCCCTGGGGTAATCAGTAGCCCTTCAGATCAATGTCATCTCCCCCTGCCTGAGGAGTTCTTCCTATCACTTTAAGTCAAAAACTAAACATGAATTCAAAGAAAACATAACAAATAGTTTTTAAAGGCTAATATTGCCCAAGGGGGCACTTTGGGGGACGCTGCCCCCAGAACCCCTTTAGGGTCAGAAACCCCATTTGAACAACTTTAGATTGATCTCACTTTCCTGCAGGTGATCCCTACATGTTTTGGTTATAATCCAGCCATGAGTTTTCAAGAAGGAAAAATATAGATGTCCAATTACTGCCACTCCCTTGTGAACCCCCTTTGGGATACATACCCCATTTGATTTGAACAACTTTATGCCTGTATTTGAAGCATGTGATCTTTTGATCTCCAATCTAGCTATCGAACCGTTTGGTAATGTTTAACCATATTAAAATCCTCCAACTTTGTTATCACTAGGGAGAGGGTCGCAACAAAGTAAAAACTTTGAATCGGTGACCACAGTAGGTTTCCAAGTAAAGTTTTCATTGGGGACTACAGTTGGATTGGAATTTAACAATTTCATTGATGCAGAGGCCGGAAGGTACAAAAATGAGAGAAACATAAATAACAATTTTGGATGAGTGCCCAAGACATTTTGAATTGCTTTAGTACCTCTAATAGAATTTTTAAAAGGCCTTGGCCTTTGAACTGTATGAGGCAAATATTTGCCAAGGACAATACATCATTGATGGCTAACGAAAGCTTTAGAAGAATTTGGCTCAAATTCATGAACTTTCCAAGGACTTTATATATTTTCTTAGAAATACATTTTTTAGTTTCAGTTTCATTGATTGATTGTTTATTGCCCGTCATGTGGAAATCCCCAGTTTGGCACACAGACTGATCAGATGATTATTTTGATTATTCTTTTTCAATTTATAGAAAATAGTTAGCAGGATTTCATAAATAAATCTTATTTTGGTCTGCAAATGGTTTTGAAAATCGTATTCATTGAGTACTGGTTTGCAGGTCTGCAGAGGGTGCTCAAGGTGCCTACCAAGTTAATCTGGGTTTATCCCAGCTACCCTAAGAAGGGAATTTCATCTGGATATGGATAAGGCAAAGAGACATTCATCAAATTGTCTGAATATGGGTCAAATATGTTGGCAAAGAGAGTGTCTTTAAAGAACAATATTTACATAAAATGCAGCTTCAGGTAAGCAACCTTGCCAACCTGAATAAGAAAATAATAAATAGGGGAGTGGAGGCTGGTGATTGAAATAAGAGGAAACAGACCATACAGAAGTGTAGCTCACAAATAGAACTTTATGAAATTTTATGGCCGAACCAAATTGGAGAGGAGCTCCCATGATACGTCACAGTGTTGCCAATTTGTGTTTCACTGATGACAAATTGAAAAATTCATAACTGTCTTATTTTTAATCGTAATTTGCTCAAATTTTCATTGACATGTTTCTCTCATTTTTATGCCTCTAAAACCAACTTAATATCAGGGTAGGCTTTTCCTTTAACTTACTTGATATGATCTACTCGTGAGGTTGATTCTTTGGCTGCAGAAATGATGTCCAGTGCAACAGAGCAAAATTGTGATTTATTCTATGGAAAGTAAGAAATATTATGGAAGAAATATACGCATCAATTCTAGTTGCTGTATAAAAATGTACATGTAGATTAGATATTTTTCTGAGGATATGTTCATAGTTTAACCCATTGTCTTCAGGAACTGGGTGGTCCCTGTGTTAAGTCTATTGGAATGATAAAATTCAGTATTCAACAGGTTAAAAGAATCAAATGGACAAAAAGTGAGGCAGATTAAACAAAGGTTGATGGATACGAGGGCAGAGAAAATATTATAGAAATATGAAATCTAGAGGGTACTGTTATAAAAAATAATGTAGAAAAGAACACAGAGGGTGTGAGAGAGGGAGAGAGAGAGAGAGAGAGAGAGAGAGATGGAGAGAATTAGAGAGAGAGAGAGAGAGAGAGAGAGAGAGAGAGCAATACCGTTAAGACAGGCAAAGGCAGTATTTTACCTGTCCCTGCTGAAAGTATCAACAAATCATTTGAATTTACCACTTCACAAATGTATCCAGATTTATGGACACTGCTTCTCAGAATCAAGAAACAACATATTGCATGCACATCATATGATCCCTAATTCTAACAATACAGGTTGGTTTTGCTATGTAAGATAAACCTCTGACAAGCAACCATGGTCGATGATTACCTCTGGGGTTGCATCGGATGAGGTAGCCATAACTTGCACCATTAGCTCCAGGACATCCTGCCGATACCGGTGACCATACATACAGATATCTGTACAAGGGAGGGTGTGGGAGAGATGAAGAGATCATGCCAGCATGAAATCCAGTTTAAAGACCATCATCTGATCATCATCACAATCATCATCATCATCCTCATCATCATAATCATCATCATCATCATCATAATCATCACCATCACCATCATAATCATCATCATCCTCATCACCATCTTCATCATCATCACCATCACCACCACCATCATCATCATCACCATCACCCTCACCATCACCACCATCACCACCACCACCATCATCATCATCATCATCATCATTCCCACCACCATCACCATCACTATTGATCTGATCATCATCATTACCCTCATGACCAACAATAACATAAATGAAATAGATGTTTAAGCATAATCAACATGGCTCCAGATTCCAAAATCCCTATCGTATCCCGACCCAACTTCTGTTTTTATGAACAACCAAAGGGAATATGCATGTAGTTTAAAAATAACTTTGGGAGTATAATTCTCCATTTACCTCTTAAAGATAAAGATTAGTTCTGGTCATGCGATTGCATTGTGAAAGAAACGGTGTGGAATCGACCAGAAAAGGTTGATCATCTAGCATATAAGAATTTGTGTGTATTGCAAGGTTCTGGAATCATCAAAATGATAAGAAATTTGGCAGAGTCTTGGTAAAGTTACAAACACTGTACACAGAAAGATGTATATGGGACTACACGAACACGTGGCATAAAAATCTGGGTAGGATTTTAACGATGTTACATGACATATTTAGAATATGAAGGCATTTGAAGAGCCATGCTTTTCAGGGAACATGTCTTATCTGATGTTCTTCCACACTTGCATAATAAGAATGATAGCGCTCACAAATTATTTTTCACCTCTTTCCAGAACTCAACCTTCTCTTTAAGCTGGAAAAGAAAAATCATGGAAAAGCTCTTCTTAGTGATTACAATGTTTATCTGGTTCATGAATAATCATAATCTCTAATGATGTTGATTATCAGTTCCAAATCTTGGATGGAATACTGTGCCTATCAATACTGAAGGTTGATCAATACAAAAATTTAACTTTTTATCCTTAGAATCACTATACATTCAATCAACTTACCGTCCCATAGTTGAGGAATGTTATCATAAGCACAAGCAGTCTCTAATGATCTCAACATGTCCATGTATACAATGGTACTGGGGATTAGGGCCTAAAGATGGAGAAATGAAGAAATAGTATTATTAAGAGAGTGTGTTGTAATCTGTGTAAAAATTACTAGCATTTGTTTCTTCTTCATAAGACCTCTTTAAAAAATAAAGATTCTTGCTGTAAATGTGAGCCTCTTTTTTGTTGCTTCGTTTGTTACTTGTTGTTTTTTCCTTAGGGGGAGGGCAAAGGTCATACATTTCTATTCATAAATAAAGCTTTTTCAAAAGTTACTGTAGACTCTCTCTTGCTACAATATATTAGTTGGTCACTGCTCATGTGTAATTTCTTTGGGAAACGGAAGAACATAAAATTACTTCATCAAATGACAATGAGCTACTAATTTATGAAAGAACTCTACAATAATGATTTGGTTGATATTTAAAAACTCTTTAATTTGCTTTAGTCACATTTTATACAGTCTTATAATTAGTTGGATCATTTCACTAAGGTTATAAATAAACCCATAAGCCTGGTTCCTGTATTAAATATATTGGTAATATGATAATTCAGTAGTCAATGGTTTAAAGGCAGGCTTTACTACTTCAGCTATTAGGGATTAGACCACCCAGCGAGCCAGCGAGGTCACTGTGACAGGTGGCTATCTCATTAACTCAGCTCTCATTTAACATAAGAAAAAGAGGATCATGGGGGAACGATTGAGAAAGTTTTTTATATAGAGGGAGCAAGTAGCTACAGTACAAGTAGGACAGTGTGCCTTTAAATATGGAGATAAACAAGTATATTTTCAAATCAAAGTGTTACTTACTGATGGTACAAACTTGTTGTAGTATTGGAACATGGATTCAGCATTGTCCATTAGACAGATCAAATGAAAGAATTTCCCGCTGGTTTTGAGAAAGAGAAAAGAATAAAAATAAAAAATGGCTGCTATGACCTTTAAAGCACTAATAAAGACTAAAATAAACCCTGTTAATGAGACCGTTTGCTGCAATCTACTTGTTTTCTTCCGCCCAAGCTTTAATAGCGTATTTTAAGACCATATCTCACCAATAGGGTATCATGCATTGGCGATAAATGGTATGCTTCCAGTGGTCAAAGCAGTAATGTCCCCAAATGTATTGCATCTTACACATTGCAAAAGCTATTTGCTTAATTGCCCAGTTGCCAGAATGTTATTCATTTCAAGTTAAAGATTTTCTTTTCACTCTTGATCCTGGATTTAGCTCATGCTGCAATGATAAATATAAACCTTGAGGTCAGTCAGGAACCCAATGAATTTTATAAGCCGATCACCTGTCTGATTATCAAGATATTTACGATTGAAAATCAACATTAAATTTTGCGTGTGGCATACGCTTTTCATAACACTACAGTCTATTGGGGGAAACGAGTATGGTAAAACCAGTCACTCAAAGGTTTTTACTTTTTTGAGGCACTTCTTGATCATTTTGAAGCACAATTTTTACAATGTGTCATAGGGAGCATATTTGTGTGGCATAGAAAGGGTCAAAATCTGATCCTCAAAAAGATGTTCATCTCATCATACTCACTAGTAGATGTTTTGTCCCATGTAATCTCCTGCAAGCTTGTGATTCTCTCGTGTGTTGAGCAGAAGATCTACTGAGTAGGCCAGCTCTACATCCCTCAATGATAAACACTAAAAACAAGAGATACACAAATATAATATGAACTATTGATGTGGTAAACTGAACTAAAACATCATCATTGCATTAACTCTTTTGAGGGGGAGGGAGGGAGTAAAGCACACTGCTGCCTACACCAATGGCCTTTGTATACGCACTGTCTTTAAATACTAAAAAAATATAGACTTCTGATGTGCAATTTAAGCTATATTTGATATAATTTGAAAAACCTAAAACAGTCAACAACTTATTCATTCCCTTGTAAATTTGATGTTTATTGTGATTTTTTGTAATTAATGAATGAAAGGTGGAACAGTTGAATGAGGGCCTTTGTTGGATAATTTTCAATGTAAAGCCCCAGTCCCATATAAAGCCGGACCAGCACGGACGAGCACGGACCACTCCGGACCATCCCGGACCATGGTCTGGGGTGATCCGGGATGGTCCGGGATGTTTTGTTCAAAAAAAGTGTGATGCTTTTAAGCTACAGTCCCATATATGTCCCGGACCGTCCCGGACCATCCCGGACCCCATCCGGGGTGATCCGGGATTCGGTCCGTGTTGACACCGTGTTGGCACCGGGGTGGTCCTGGCGCCACTACGGATGACCCCGGACCCAGCACGGTGGCTACACGGATCACCCCGGATCAAACTATTGTCCCGGACCGTCCCGGACCACCCCGGCAGTTTTTGACCGTCAAAAACATCCGGGGTCGACTCCCGGACCGCCCAGGACCATCCAGGACCACCCCGGTGCCAACACGGTGTCAACACGGACCGAATCCCGGATCACCCCGGATGGGGTCCGGGATGGTCCGGGACGGTCCGGGACGTATATGGGACTGTAGCTTAAGCTTTGATGTGTCAATTATCAAGAAACATACATTGGGACAAATCAATTTTTCACATACTTAAAGCTACGGTCACAAAGGTTCGTACGAATTTCCCTGTTTTTCCATTGTCTTTCTGAATTTCCATTGTCTGCAAATCGTTCGTACAGCATTCGTAGCAATTCATAATGGCATTCGTGACCGAGGCTTAACATATTACAACATCCTGGTAAGGGTATAAATATAACTTTGTTGTTAACTGTACACTACAGTATTACAGTGCACTTGCAATTTTTGGTAAATACTTCAATGGCTTATCATAGCACAAACTTGACCGCTCTCAATATGCCTGACATTGCAAAAACAATACCTTTCTATCCATCAACAGAAAATTACCTAATAACAAACTATTAACAAAGGCCCGAATTCACAAAGGAAGTTTAAATTTAACCCATGGATTAAACCAATACATAACCCATGTTTAAAATTAAGCGTACCTTACCTTGTGCCCGTCTATTAATATTCGACCTCTGACTGTGTCACGCTTATTTTGGGCTAATTTTAGACAATGGGTTATGTAAATGAAGATTTAAATCATGGGTTAAATCTAGACGTCCATTGTGAATTTGGGCCAGCGATTAATAAGAAAATAAAAAATGTTAAGTATTATCAGGTATTTACAGGCAAGAGCAGAAAAGTAAGGAAAGAAACAAAAATTGCTACACAACTAGTTCAATATCTTTACAAGTTACTTACCACTGACATAGCATTTTTGAAGAATTCCACTGGCAAAAACAAACACAAGAAAATGGGAGAGATTAGAATTATGAATTGGTGATACAATGATTCTGCAATAACTTAGAAAGTTTGACATACATGTAGCTTTAACAATGCTTTGTACACTAGCAAAGTTCACGGTCTAATATAAAAAGTGATGGCAAACGTGACACACAGAACTAACCCTTTGTATTGCATAATATGAAGCCATGTATTGCATAATGTGGAGCCAGAGAACCTGGTGTGATCCTTTCCATCAGTAAAGAATTAATAACTCAGTATTTCTTTAAGAGGTTCTTTGGGGATTTTCTACAGAAAATGGGAGACCTTCTCGATAGGCTGTGTCAGATACAATTTTCCAGATCCATCTAAATAATTCACTTACGCAGGTGACAGACAGGTGACAGACAGAAATTTCCAGCAAAAAAATCCTGTGAAATTTTGTGATGAAGGAAAACTTTCTTGGTTCATTGTAGGATTCTTTGTGGGATAATTGATGACAGACAGCGAATTATCTAGAAAGGATTTTCTAGATATTTGGCCATGTCTGATACCGTCTAATATATTTCTCCTTCTCATCCATCAATGACATTTCAAATCACACAAAAAAGAGCTCTTTTGAATTTCAAAGAATTCAAAGCAAGGGCTAAATATTGATCTAGTTCATAATTTCTCTTATAAATTGCCTGGACTGACTCACCATCTTTAGGATGTCTGATGGAGAATTCTTGTCCTTCGATGGTGTCCATGATGTCATACAAGATGTCACTTGGTGGAAGACCTAAAACATATCAAGTATTCTTTTATTTAACCTATCAGAGTCAAATGCAAATTTTTGTATATTGACCTTAAATCTTTGAAAAATGTAATGAACTATGAAACAATAATCATGTGATGTTACATTTCAAAGTGATACTGAACTGATGAACTTTTTGCCCTAGCATACTGTTTATTGCACAGCACTAGTTCATGGTCAACTTGCCAACAGTACGTAAACCACTTCCATTTCGCAGACAGAAAACTCCATGTGAGAACCAACAGTGCACGAAAGCAGCAAGTTACGGGACCGTACTGCTACAGCTGACCCGAGATGGCACTAGAGGGGATTTTGCAGGAGTGCTTCTAGTACAGAATGGCTTTTACAAGTTTTTTTCTCTTCTCCAAATTAGAAAATCAAGTAAAATGAAAGGTGAAAACTGTCTTCTTCTTCTTCTACTACTACTTTTCCTTCTTCTTCTCCTCTTCCTCCTCCTCCTCCTCCTCCTCCTCTTCCCCCTCCCCCTGCCCCTAAGAACAACAAAAGTGATTTTTCTTACTGTCTTTGTAGAAGATCATGACAAGCAGATTGTATGTTCCAAGACTGGGCTCTGAAAACAAAAACATATAATGGGTAAGTTTATATCACTTGACTTGTATAACCAACCAGCCAGCATGACAATAAAGAATCACTGGCATTGTTACACTGGATTATACCACAGTCACATCAACAAAACAGACAACAGACCAACAAAAGACAGAACAAATAATTACAATACCATGAATGGTAAACAAGACAAATGCAACTGCGTCTCCCATTTGCCTCTGCCCTAAATTCAGTAAACGAAATGGATGAAATTATTTGTGACATATTACAATGAAAACAAAAAGCATATCTTTTGTGGTACTTGAGATATCGCGATAGTAAGGCAAAAAGCCTGTAATTTCAGAAATTGACCTCTGTGACCTTTGATTTTTGAACCCTAAACCTGATCAGATCATCTTCCTATGTTAGGACATACTATTACCAGTTTGAGCCTCATATCTCAAGTGGTTCTTGAGATATCGCGTTAACGAGAAAGCGAAATGGATAGATGGACAACCCCGAAAATATAATGCATCCAGCAACATAAAACAGGCAGAAAAATTGGACTGAGGATTTAAAATTAAGCAGAGAATCTTATTACAAGTACACCCTATTCAGAAGAAAAAAGTAAAATAAAATAAAAGAAATGAATAAATCTGAAAAAATAAAGATTGTTCCTGTGCTGTAACTATTCTTCCTGACCGCTGCTAGTTGTAGAAGTGCAAATAAAATTGTATTCAGATATTGATACTACGATTCACATTTTCAAAATTATTTTTGGGATACTTTGTAAAAGTAATATGTAACTATGTTTATGATACTTTACTCATTTCTTTCAATATGTATAAGAAGATATGCTTTTAACCAGCGAATCAATAGCAACCAAGGAGAATAACAAAAGAAGAAAATCAGTAGTTTATGAAATAACAATTCTTGTCCCTGCATTTTCAGGTAATAGGAAAAAGACAACTTCAAAAATGAAAATCCATACACCTTTCAAATGAACTTTTGACCTTTAACATACATTACGACTTTGATAGGCCTTTTTCTGCAGGGTCACTGATTCATTGTAAATTACATTCCTTCTTGTTTACAAATTCAGCAAGAAATCTACTCCTCTGTTATTTCTTGTAGATTTCTCCTATCCTGTCATTTACAATCTTGCTATTGTTACACAGCTGTTTGTGTGAATTTCACACTCAAGCTATGTCCTGTGTAATATACAACCTGTCAATCACAGAGTCATGGGGTCTTGTTCATGAAAATTCACAGCCAATCAAACGCAGCCGTTTCAGTAGCTTTTAACAATAAGACAGTAGCTTATAACAAGAATTTTTACTGACATCATTTTATGAAAAATTGCCCTGATGTGATATGACCTACTTCTCTCTTCTTTTTCTTTTCCCTTTTTCCCTTTCTCTTTTTTTTTCTTCTCCATTTATGATTATCTAACTTAAAATCAAACTCACCCTTTCCTCATCACAGATTATTAATGTCTCCCTGTTAAAAAAGTTTATCCTTTATTTCTTTAAAGGAAGAGCTGGATATTTTTCTCTAGAGTTAGCATACATGTATGTATACAAAACATAATGTAATATGCTTTGGCAGTAAACAGGTTCAGAGTGCAAGATTGCACCGTAGTCTTCTTTTACCGCCAAACAAAATACTAATAAACTACTGCATTTACATGAATTCTTACCGACACCACACGCCTTCATCTCTGCGAGAGTCTTGAGCCCCATCTTGCGTCCCAGAGCACCCATGATCCGTAGATTGTCTAGGAGAGCGTTAAATGTCTCGAGATTGGGCCGCACCTTCTCTATATCCATCTGCTTCATTATTTGCTATGGAGGAAAACAATAATTACATGTAAATTTATTATTAGATGGAATGGCTGGTACAATTGCTCAAAGTGAAATAGAACTAAGGTGAGAAAAGCCTTTTCCCCCCTTTTTTATGTTTTCCAGAATCATGCATGCCCTTTTCTATTTCTTATTTCCATCATGAATTTAAAAAGAGGAATTTGGTCCTTCCCTTTCTGATAAAACAAAACTATGTCAAAAACTATTTTTCCAAGTTTAAAAGAGGAATTTGGTCCTTACCCTTTCTGATAAAACAAAACTATGTCAAAAACTATTTTTCCAAGTTTTGTTCTTATTATCTCTTATGTACCTTCTCAACACATTTGATGGTATTTTTTTTAAGCAGACTAACTTTAGACCAAGTTTAAACCTTGATTACATAAGTTTGTCAGTCAACTTTATGGAGTGGCAAGCGTCAACTCCATTCTTCCTGTACATCTGACCATAACTCTATAAATACAGATCATGTCACCATTAGCCTAGTGCACGTCAAAATTCTGAATTTAATAAAACAAAGGTAAGCGAGTATACATGTACTTAAGAGCCTCAGTTGCTTGCAAATATATTTTTTGTCACCTCAGTTGCAATTCTTCTACTAATAAATTGGTTTTCATTTTTCAGTGGCCTTTTTTTTGGGGGGGGGGGGGGATTACAGTAGTGAGTGTGAGAGAGTTGTAACTACTGTGGAATAGATACAAACAAAGCTTAATTTTGTTCCTCATATAGTACATATATTTTAGATGTATAGATCTCATGGTCTAGACTAGAGCACTTACTGCCATAACAGACCACCTCTCCTTATAATCATCTCTGATGGTAATACTGCCCTCTATCAATGAATTGTAGGCATGGACGTCGGCTTGGATCCCTCGTTCCTGCATCTCATTGTAGACGGTGTATGCACGTGATTGTGCGCCATGCTAAAAGAATATAAAATAAAAGTGTCAATTTTGAATTAATAAAACGTTTTGATGTCAAATGAAACGTACAACTTATTTTTTTTTTTGGGGGGGGGGAATGCATTAAAATCCTCCTTCTGAAAATGAAAAAAAAAATTACTTTACCCATATTGAATCTTTGCCCACAATATAGGCAACAACAAGTTCATCAAATGTCAAAAGCATATATATGATAAGAAGCCCAAATGTCACATAAATGCACAATTTCCACTTTTTACATCTTTAGAAGGAAACTCACTGACTCACTATATAAACAATGAGAGCAATGACAAACAAAAAGGGAAAGTAAGTTTTTCTTTTAAGTAATTTGTTGATCCATACTTATTGTTTTACATTTATCTTTGTTTCATTTCCAAGAGTCCTTCAAAAGATGAGATACATTCCAATTTTGTAATACATGTATGTAGTTTGTTTGTAGTTTTTCTTTGTATTTTCGGACATTTATACATTTTAAAATTTTCAGTATTTTGTTTGTTGCTTAATTGCCTACTGGAAAACAGATAAAAATAAAAGTAAAGAAGAAAAAAAAGTAATCATTTTAGCTTCGGGTAGCCATTTTGGAAATCATCAGCATTCATATTGTACTGTCATCATCCTCAATAACACAGCAGGGCTAACACAATCACTGACCTTAACTAGTCCTCTAATCATGCTGTTGTAGCTTCTTGAATCTTTGTCCTCCATACTATCAAACAGCTTATCTGCAGCATTCCCATCTCTGACAAACAAAGCAAAATAATAGATATATTTAATAACAGGGGACCAAATCCCAAAGAAATGTACATGTAATGCTATGCATATTTAAAGAGATGATTGTTACAGCAAAATTGGTAAATAGCAACGAGAACAGACTACAGCTTTTCGTCTTTGTGGCAGCCAATCACAGCCAATTAATCTCTCCCGCGCTTGTTTGGCGGAGCTCATGATCATAGTCTGCATACACAATATCGTCGTCCTCGCTGTTGCCGTCCACATCCGACTCTGCGCCCATCTTGTCCTCCCACAGCACATCGTCCTCTGTTCCGTCAAGAGCCTTCGAGATGCAGCACTTGGCGATCCACCCGCAGATTGTCTGCACAGCTACCTTCCTCGTCCTACCGCCCTCGGTGTACGTCTTGTCGCCATACATCATCCAGTCTGCCCAGCATCGTAAAAGTCCGACCTTAAAGGGCTTGTTAACACCGACGTCTAGTGGCTGGAGTATTGATGTCATCCTCCAGGAATCATGACCATGTCTGTGTTGTGCTTCCTCAGCAGCTCCTTTGTCGATGCGGAGTTGTGGCACCTGAATGCATCCAGTACCAGTAAGCTGCGCCTGTGTGTAAGACTGCCGACCTGCCGACCCCAAACGACTTTCAGCCAGTTTTCGGTAAGGTACTGGTCCATCCAGCCCTTCACCTGAGCCCTAACGATGACTCCCAGCAGATAGTTCCCCTTAGGAATGGTCTTGCGTTTGAAGATGACGTATGGTCGCAGCTTTCCCCTGTCAGCATGACAGTGAAGCGGTCCTTCTCATGGCCTGTCGTTGTCACGCTGATGGTCTTGAGGCCCTTGCTGGAGACCGTTGAGCTTCTCCGAACGTCGAAAGGTGCGTCTGGTCGGTGTTGCCAATACGACTCAGAGGGTAGTCGTACTCCCGTCGCTTCCGGATGAGGTACTGCTGAAAAGTCTTCTCGACAAACTCTTCGGGTAGGCGCTGAGCAATGTGAGTACGTCAGCGGATGGATAGGTCATGTCGCTTCATGAACCTGTAGGCCCAAGACCCCGGTTTCATCAGCAATATTATTAGCCTTCAACCGTAGAGCTATCGTTGACTCAGCACGACCCTCGGCTCGTTTCTCCTGTACCCACTGGAAGACGGACTCCTCAAGGTCTGGCCATCTTGCCTTGCCACTCCTCATCGCCCACTCTTCTCGCTCTGCATAGCCTTCAATGTCACCTTGCTCTGTCGCCATCGATAAACGTTCTTCTCGTCCAGGTTGTACTTCCTCCCTGCAGCCCTGCTGCCAAACTCCGCTGCATACGAGCAGACAGCGAGTTTGAAAGACTCGGTGTAGGAGTTTCGCATGGTGCTCTTTTATCACAGCAACGGGTTGTATGAATGATCTTCGTGGTCGGATCAGAGGTGATGCTCGGCAACTTGAAGTAATGGAACGGGTTGTAGGAAAAATCTTCTGCACTTGGTCGTAGTGGAGATGATGCTAATTGAAGTCACTGCAACTTTAATATTATTACTTCTTGAATCATTTGAAGCGTGCTTTCATGCTTTCATATTGTGAATTGAAATGGATGTACACCCCTTTAGAAAAAAACCACAACTCCACCCCCCGCCCCCCCCCCAACATAAAAAGACAACAAAACAATTATGAGTCAGTTAGAAAGAAAGGAAAAGGTAGTTCCTTGTATTGATTAGAACTTACTGCCATAGTATTCCCTGGTATCTCATCCTCCATCTCTTTTGGTTGCGGCTTTCTTCCTTTTCATTTGGGACGACAGCTTCACCACTCTCCTCACCAGTCTCAGCTGCTGCTGCTTCGTCTTCAGCTTCTCCTTCCTATCAACAAGGCATTTCAAAATAATTACCCAAAACAACTGCATTAGTTTGGGCTCAACACTAGACGGGAGGGGGGGGGGGTGGGTTCGAGCAGTACTCATGGGCCACCAAAGTCTACATCAAATCAATTTCAACGGAAATGTCCCTGAAAAAGTTGGTTTTTAATGATTTCTAGAAAACTTGCCTCTGTCATAGAGCAATTTTACAAACCAAAACAGAAGAAATGTTTCAAATTCAAGTTCGATTGTAATCCATTAACAGGTTCTCAGAATATCGTGATTACAAGCTATTTCTCATAAATATATGTATGACCCTTTGATATTTGACCTCTTGACCCCAAAATCTACTCAGTTCATTGGCTCTGCAAGATACATACATGTACATGTCTTGAGTTTGATGGTAATCCATCTATCGGTTCTAATGATAATGCAATCACAAGCTATTTTTGCATACATAATGAGTCCCATGACCTTTGACCTTGACGTCATGACCCCAAAGTCTAATCAGTTCATCGGCTTTGAAAGATACATACATGATATAAGTTTGGCAGGAATCCATCAATCAGTTCTTGAGATATTGCGATCACGAGCTGTTTTCACATACATAATGAGCTCTGTGACCTTTGACCTTGACCTCATGACCCCAAAATCTGATCAAATCATCGGCTCCACAAGATACATACATGAACAAAGTTTGGCAGGAATCCATCAATCGGTTCTTCGGATAACGCGATCACGAAAACGGGACGTACGGACGTACGTACAGACAGACGGACGGACAACCCGAAAACATTATGCCTCAGGCTACTTCGTAACGGGGCATAAAAACGTACAGATAATGTTAAATTTGAGATGTTGCCATAGTTACCTCTTTTGCAGCCTTTGGAGTAAGCATTTTCTTGAGGACAGAATGTTCTGCTTGTGGACGACCTCCATGGAAGCAAAGAAAGTCTAGCAGTGTATTATTCACCTCCAGAGATACATGGTGACCTATAAAGTAAAATTTATATTGAACAATATAATCGATTGGCTGATTAGCATATTTTTGTTTTATTGGTTAATTGGATGATAGAGGGATGGAAGGATAGATTGATTTGTCGATTCATTGACTGCTTTAATTAAAGATGATCAGTTGCTTGGCTGATCAATTAATCTACTTTCTGCCTGAAAGATGGATTGACTAGATTGATTGATGGATGGAGAGATAGAAAGAAAGATTAATTACATCTCCATGAACATAGATAGATAGATAGATAGATGCTTTTATTGATCCATATTAAAAACATAGAAAATTGGCCTTAACTAGCAGCACATAAACAAAATACAATGAAGTTACTAGATAATTGATAAACACTTAGGTATATACGTCACATATATGTACATAAATTCATATGAGAGTCATGACATGCATAAAATAACCTATAAAAACATAAAATGTTGAAATTTAAAAACTCTACCTGATTCTACTAGTTGTCTGTGGGCCTCTAGAGCTCCCTGCATATCACTCACACCTATCCTTTCTAAGATGGCTTCTTCACTCGCTTCTTGGACGTCTGATGCGTCAACAGGTGGATAAAATGCCTGGAAATTAAACGAATGGAACCAGATGACTATGAAGTTATTGATAATATGCTTCCTTTATATTGTAATCACACAAACTCTTTCTCTGCATTGCTAACAGTTTAGCCTGTCTGCACTAGTTTGGCCAGGAGGGATTAGATCTCCCTGCATGGTCACTGACAGTTAGTTATCTCATCAAATCAGCTCTCATTTAACATAAGAAAAATGGGATCATGGGGGACCTACGGGTGCCGCTTAGGCATTGTTTGCTATGTAGAGGGAGCAAGTAGCTAAAAAAGAGAGAGAGATAGTAGATTGGTTTAAAATACATGTAGTTTAAACCTACTTCAAGAATGTGAGGCATATTGACTAAACCAGGGCTATGCCATCCATTTTGGATTCAAATAGGCTTTAATTCTCATGGTTTTTTTATGGCCACCCAATTCCAATAATGCTCCATCTTGTGTTGTTATCTGATGTATCACTTTATTGTTTTATCATTTTACCTCATTTTGTACTCTTGATGGATTTATACTGCTATTCTGTCAAGGTTGTATTCTATTTTGTATATTTTATTGGAATTGAATAAAATTGAGTTGAATTGAATACATGTATAAAAGAATACATTGCCTGTTCATTGGAAACGCTGGAGGACATTCACAAACTATGCTCCTCTTAAAACCATCTTATATCGGAGTCACACCGTTGAAAATACCAATAGAATTTTCCTTATGTAAACATACTGTAGTGAAACCACTGCTGTCCCTGCTGTCCCTTTCATAATGCTGCAGTGAAGAATTATTACGCAATCGTTTGTTAGTTGCTGGCGCACGCTTTTTTGGATTTAGCAGACAGCACAGTGCAGAGCGCAGCTAGTTAGCTAGCCGGGTTCCGAAAAAGTGCGTGTATACTAACTTTAGACGGAACAAGATAACAACCTTTGACCATTTTCATCTGTGTTTTCTCCCGAACCCATTCACAGTGGCCGTTTCAGCGGAGTCACACCGAAAGAAAGAGAATTTCTCCTGATCTTGAGCTGGAGAATTTCATCGCCTATTTCTCTTCTTTTCATCAGCTATTCTATCTGCTTTTTCTCCTCTGTACCATTCATGGTGGCCCTTTCATCGAATGCTTCTGGACGCATCCGATGAAAATCAGGCCCCTTTGAATGAGTCAATATGTACCTCCTTTGTGAGCAATGACCAATAGATTTACTCAGGTTTCCTTCAGCGAAATTTGCTTCCAACGTCAACTCATAGTGGAACCTCATTATAAAGAGCTCTGATATAATGAGGTATTTGTTATAACCAGGTGATTTTGCTAATCAAAGCTTTTTATATTCTTTTTTTAATAATTCTGATATAACAGAGTAACATCTTTGGTCCCAAGGACCTTTTTATAACGATGTTCCACTGTACCATTACATGTATGTACATACACTTTGCTAAAAGACCCTACAACACTTTTGAAGTCAGTGGATTTACAAAAGTGCATGCATGTGCCCCCCCCCCCCAAACAAAACAGGAAGTTGACACTAACATACCTCAATCTTTGGTTCATCTTTTGTTAATCCTAAGAATACTTCTGGCTTGCTGTTGATGACATACTGAGCAGCTTTCTTTCCAGAGACTTTGGACAGTTGGTATCTCCGCTACATAAAATGACAGAAATTTAGATGTTGAATAAAAGGGAATCAAGCACACACAAAAATAATGTTCTTCCATTAAACGATATGAACTTTGAAATGATAAACGCTTAAATAAAGAAGGAAAATACAAGAAGACTACATGGAAGTTTAAACTTAAATGTGGCTTCTGTGCATTCCAAAACTTTGCGTCAGTACATTGACTAGTCTACCATTACTAGTACAGGCTCATTGTCAACTTCATTTGAACAAAAATAACTTAAATTTAAATAAGAGCAATGATAACAATACAAGAAAATTTAAATTAAATGCTCTGTTAGTGTTTAATCCTATCACTACAAAGTTTTTTAATTATTTGAATCTGATCTTTTCAATTAAAAATACAAACAAAATAGATATATTTTGATCTTACCCTTTCAGCAGCTGATTTAGGGAGAAGGTATGGGTCATCCATAAACACATACGGCAAGGCAGTGGGATCCTGTACAGGTAAGGATCAGAGAGAAAATGATTGTTATATGCCAGTATTATGCAGATTCAGAATGTGATTCAGAATGGTGAATTAGTACAAAGTGAAGTATTACATAGAGTTATATCTTGTTGACCACTGTAATAAAATCAAAGCTGCTTTAGCCACCACCTGTGTAGAAAGACCATCTTACTATAAACTTATAAAGACCACATTTTTTGTTACTCTTGTAAATGGTTTCTCATTTAAACAAGTACTAACCGAATCTGTACATTAAGACCACCTGCCCACAAAGACCACTTTCATTTTAGCATTCTTTACATACAGGTCTCGTTAACATAAAACACTGTCATTAATTTTGTGAGTGGTGCAGATTAATGGAGCTCTGATGCCACAAGATAGTTGAATTACAACATTGAGTTTCTGCTATTCAGAAAAGCTTCTTACCTGATATCCCAGTCATACTGATGAGACCAAAAACAGACCAACGCCAAACAGACCAACGCCAAACCGACAATAGACTGACCAAATCATTGTATTACCTCTCCTATGGCAAAGAATCGTTCCGTCTGGGGTTGGTTGGGAGTCGGTCTGATGGCGTGACTGGGTATCAGTTAGGACAGTCTTTAATAAATAATTTTGTTATTATAAGGATTACCAGTTGGTTTTACTCAATTAGCTTGGAAATTTCCCCATATTTTAGAGATACGCTATTTAGTTACAATTATACTTTATTTACAATATAATGCCTGAAAGTCCAGAAACAGAGCAGTGACACAGCCTGTTGACTGCCGATACTGTCAAATGTTTAACAAAATCACTTTGAAATGTAATTTCATTGAAAATGTATGGCAAAATGTATGCTGCGTCTAGATACAATATGGATCAAACAGGAAAAGTAGAGTAGAATACAGAGGTAAAGTTAAAGACTTGCTTGTGAGTACATACTGTATGCACAGCAATACATCATTCATATTTTGTAAGATATACAACATATAGTCGTCACTCACCTTGGTCACAGTTTGACTAAGTGCTCTCAATACAGATAAATCATCCCTGCAACAACACAAAGGAAAATACAATCCATGTCAATGTCCTGGCCCCTGTTTTTTGATGAGTTGTGACTGATCTGGATTTATTGGAAATCTCCCAATCAAGTGACTACTTAAGGGCCCTAACGCAAATCTGATGTTCGACAAGAGATGGCGACCTTTCTTCAACAATGAGCAGGTCAACACATGCACAGATACAATACTAAGGAAGATAATAAGACAAGGTTTCTTCCGGCTTACATAGGAAATGTACAGCAGGGTCAACAAATTCCTAATTTTACTAACTCCCCTGATGATTTGATGAGATCTATGTAGGCACCATCATAATCTGTTTCTTATACTTTATTGATATATATCAATATCAATTCTATCAGACTTGCCAGTTCTTTACAGATTGAATATTTATAGGAACCAGATTTGCCAAATATACCCATGACTGGTGCTGCCTTCTATGGCCAAATCCTGTAATTGCGGTAGCGAGAATTTCAAACTTTCAAACTTTATCTCTGCATTACAGGGCTGCAAATCGACATAAAATTATGATTGTCTTGAATCAATCGTAAGTGTTTAAAAGACAAGACCTGCGTGAGCAGATAACAGATTCATTTGAAAACTACACTATTAATATGCTACTAAGTCTTTCCAACATCAGCATACATACATGTTGTTGAATGCTAAATTTAAGTCATCAAATACAATAAATTAGGCTTGAGTCGGTACAGTCGATCACACCGGGACCCGACCGTTGCCGTCGGGTCCCGGTTTCGTTTTTTGACAACCCGCGCTCCGAAAAAAATAATGAAATATGTAAGAAATTGCAGTTTTGCACACCACTAAAATCAATCCACCTTAAAACTTAAGTATTTAATTGTTACCAATCATATTCTAGCTCATCCTGAATCAATCCGAACTGCTGATATAAATATGGGTTGCAAAGGGGTTGTTGTTGCCAGCTGCTAGCTATGTACTGGCCGGGTCTCTCGGCAGAATTGATAAATCAGGTTGAAAGAAACATTAATGTTTGAATAATAAAACGACTTTCTAAAAAGTACTTCTTTACCGATCGAATAATTTTTAAAGGACAAAATAGATATTTTTTCTTCGATTTTGAACACCGCATGCTTCTTTTAAAAGCTGAAAATGACTTGGTAATCAGAAGAAGTTTCGATACAGATAGCTGTTGCAAGGCAAGTTCAGACTAGTCTCGGAAAAATGCGCAGTGCTCCTCGTTATTGTTAGCTGTAATGCGTGCCAGAACGAACCCAAACAAAGACGTGATCGTAACGAGAAAAAAATCATTAAAAACTACGAGAGCACAATTGGAAAGACAACTACTCAAAATTTTCGTAAGCAGATGCCAGATACATAACTTGGAGGAAGAATACAAAAGTTGCCCAAGAAAAGCCACATAGTTATATTTAAGGAGTTACTATAGGTACAATCATTATCGGAAGGGCCTGCTGCAATATTATATCTACGCGTGTTTAAATTGAACACGAGACAAATACCGCCCTCTACGGTAAAAACCAGTATAACAAAGGATTCGAGTATTTGCAGCAGGCCCCTTGCGATAAAAATGTACCCAGTTACTCCTCGATTATCACAATTTCTGTGGCATTTCTTGGGCGATTATTGAATTCTTTGTCCAAGTTATGTATCTGATTATGGTAATTTTGAGCAGTAGTTGTCTTTCCAATTGTGCTCTCGTAGTTTTTAATGATTTTTTTTTCGTTACGATCACGTCTTTGTTTGGGTTCGTTCTGGCACGCATTACAGCTAACGATAACGAGGAGCACTGCGCATTTTTCCGAGACTAGTCTGAACTTGCCTTGCAACAGCTATTCGTATCGAAACTTCTTGTGATTACCAAGTAATTTTCAGCTTTTAAAAAAAAGCATGCGATGTTTAAAATAAAGAGATAAATATTTATTTTTGTCTTAAAAATATTTTATGATCGGTATATTGTACAGAAGAATTTTTTAGAAAGCCGTTTTATTATTCTAACATTCATATTTTTGACCAGATTTATTCAACCTGCATAAATCAAAATGGCGACTCGAATGTTGTCTTTCTAATTTCTGCCCCAGTTTTTTACTTTTGGAGGCACGATAATGGCACTAAACATCGCCAATCATGGATGAAAATAATGTCAAATGGAAGAATATACCGATCTGAGCCGAGGTATGCATGTGTTGACATATTTGATTGATAAAAAAGGTCACTTTTAAGGGACATACTGATGATATGCGCTTTTTATAGAGGCAAGTGACAAATCCTGCGAGCTGATTTCGGGACACCGGGTCCCGATCGGTGCAAGGCCGTCGGGACCCGGTTTATGAAAATCCCGACATGACTCAGGCCTACAATAAATGTTAAGTTTGAAAAGGAATAAAAGATCAAATTCCCTAATATATTTTTTTGACAGAAGAACATCAATACTCCTTAAGTTTTTAACTTAGAAATAAGTCTCCAAAGCTTGCTTTACTTTAGACCGAAAGCTTCAGTCTCTATAATCGTCGGTTGTTCCACTGAGACTACGTCTGGCTCCACTAGACCTCCGGTTATAGAGACTGAACGACTGCCTATGCCAGCCTGTGTTGAACTTATTCCGCTAGATTTTAGCCGCTAGGCCCCTCCCACAAACTTGCCACGGCCGTATTGTTATGCCCCCAAAATCCCCCAAAATGTCATTTTACCTCGTCCATATCCAATTTTAAATTAGGCCTAGGCTATAATACATCGGTTCCACTTACTAATTTGATGTAAATAATCCGTTTAATGGTCCCTTTTAAGGAAATTATGGGTCAAAATCGACATCCATGTTGAAAATCTTGCAAGCCGTCCGTTAAACTCTCGCTGCCGTCAATCTCATCCCTTCTAGTCTACGCCGAAGGCAAAATGATAATGAAGGAAAAACTGTGCGCCATCTACACGTTCGTAATGGCGTTATCACAGTTTTTCCTTCATAATCATTTTGCCTTCGGCGTAGACTAGAAGGGATGAGATTGACGGCAACGAGAGTTTAACACGGCTTGCAAGATTTTCAACATGGATGTCGATTTTGACCCATAATTTCCATAAAAGGGACCATTAAACGGATTATTTCCATCAAATTAGTAAGTGGAACCGATGTATTATAGCCTAGGCCTAATTTAAAATTGGATATGGACGAGGTAAAATGACATTTTGGGGGATTTTGGGGGCATAACAATACGGCCGTGGCAAGTTTGTGGGAGGGGCCTAGCGGCTAAAATCTAGCGGAATAAGTTCAACACAGGCTGGCATAGGCAGTCGTTCTGTCTCTATAACCGGAGGTCTAGTGGAGCCAGACGTAGTCTCAGTGGAACAACCGACGGTATAGAGACTGAAGCTTTCGGTCTAGCTTTACTTCACAATCATGTGTCCTACCTTTTGACTTTCTTTGGAATGACCACAGATTCTTTTGATTGTGTTTGTACTGAGCAGTCTCTGGTCTGACACGAATGAGTCACTGAGGCTGCGGTCAATCTGAAAGTTAAAAGAACAACAAAAAAAACTTTATAGCGAAACATGGCTGTTTTCACATTATCAATTTGATGCTGACTTTACAGTGATAGCAATTAGTGTAGGGGAGTGTCACTAACTCAGCGAACTCCTTGCACATCTTCGTACACTAAACTAATTACCACTGGCATAAAGTCAGTATCAAACTGGCAATACAAAAACAGCTTTTTAGCATACACCACACATATTTGCGTTTCTGTAAATTATATACATTTAGCGACTATTGTATTTGCCGGCGGAAAGGCCGCAGTATTTTCAGAAGAGAAAATATAACAAAAGTCTGGGTGCGGCCCTATGCGCGACAATAGTCAAAGATCCGCAGTCAAAACAGCTTGTATTTGTACATATATGGGACTGAGCTAAGTACAATGACCATACTGACGATTTTGTGTTATATTGTTGACATGAAGTTTTGTCAATCTTGTGGATAAACTTTATAATTTACCAACCAAAAAGTACTGGTAGATCTAGATCAAAGTTCGTGCCATCGCTACGTCTGGCTCCACTAGACCTACGATTATACTTTATAGAATGTCAACAAATGTCAGTTTTATTAAAGAAATGACCCATATCAGACGGTTATTTCTGTCTAGTAGTAGATTCTATGCCTAACAAAACAAAACAAAACTTAATATGAGGATATCCTCGTTTGAGCGGACAACCCTCATTCTCGGACCAGCGCCCCTACTCATTGGTGCATGGCCATGGTGTGGGAATGGCTTCTTCAATTTCAAATTTTCAATTGAATTGGTGATTTCCTGATTAATAATAGATCTAGAAACATTTGGCCATCACTCAACACACAGGCACAGCCACAAACAGGCAAATGGGACCGGTGCCATGCCATCGGGGAGCTCCACCGGCCACCGCCGTCGACTCGAGGCGCTGGCTGCCTGGCCTGGCCCTAGCACTATAGCATTGCCATTGTAGCAAGAGTTAGCACCCTCAGCAAGGCACGCAGGCAGTCGCTCGCCCAATTGGTTGGTACAAGTTGAAAAAGCAAAAACTCAAGATCAATTCTGTAAAGAAACGTACCTCGAAAAACGTAAGAATTGTATGACATTTTCTTGAATTCGGGATCCACTTTTTCTCCACATACGATTTACTAGGGACAGACGGCGATCCATTCCTAAAATCGTTCTGATTGGTCCGTTAAGGATGGCCCTTGTACGTGTGGTGCGAGTGGAGTCCTATCTCAGATCGCACGGACCGAGGGAATTCAACTAAATAAATTCACTCAAATCAGTGGATATTTAGCTTGAATGAGCAGGCTCTCTAAGAATAAGTACACTAGAAAATAAGATTATACGATGTGAATGGTTTAAAGTGAAATTGCAAACCCTAAATCACAAATAGAGATCGTCAATTTGGTGAGACTTGTACAGTTCGAATCGAAGTACGAACGTGTATCTGTATCTACACTGTACACTGTGTATGTATGCATGTATGCACCTATAGACGCACCAGCCAGTCGTTTTTTGTAAATTAGGATTTTAAAAAGTTTAAAGATACGATATACACAAGATAGCCAACACAGTGGGATATGTGGTGGATATATCCAGCTCAAACCTTCATCTATCAAGAAACTTTCTACTTCAATGCAACTACTATTGACAATGATAATCAATGGATAAACAGACCACATATGAAAATCAAAGAGCACATCAAAATCATTCATTCAGCAAATATACTTCTAGTATATCTTACTTATACAATATGCCAGTTCATATGTCTATATACATTGTAAATGGCAACATGCCGGTTCATATGTCTTTATACATTGAAAATGGCAACGTGCCGGTTCATATGTCTTTATACAAATTACATTGAAAATGGCAAATATACATCGAGTATATCTTTATTGCACAATATGCCAGTTCATATGTCTATATACATTGTAAATGGCAACATGCCGGTTAATATGTCTTTATACAATGAAAATGGCAACGTGCCAGTTAATATGTCTTTATACATTGAAAAATGGCAACGTGCCGGTTGATATCTCTTTATACATTAAAAATGGCAACATGCCGGTTCATATGTCTTTATACAAAGTACATTGAAAATGGCAAATATACATCTAGTATATCCTTATTGCACAATATGCCAGTTCACATGTCTTTATACATTGAAAATGGCAACATGCCGGTTGATATGTCTTTATACATTGAAAATGGCAACATGCCGGTTCATATGTCTTTATACATTGAAAATGGCAACGTGCCGGTTGATATGTCTTTATACATTGAAAATGGCAACATGCCGGTTAATATGTCTTTATACAATGAAAAATGGCAACGTGCCGGTTGATATCTCTTTATACATTCAAAAGGGCAACATGCCGGTTCATGTGTCTTTATACATTGAAAATGGCAACATGCCGGTTCATACGTCTTTATACATTGAATATGGCAACATGCCGGTTCATATGTCTTTATACATTAAAAATGGCAACATGCCGGTTGATATGTCTTTATACATTGAAAAATGGCAACATGCCGGTTCATATGTCTTAATACATTGAAAATGGCAACATGCCGGTTCATATGTCTTTATACAATGAAAAATGGCAACGTGCCGGTTCATATGTCTTTATACATTGAAAATGGCAACATGCCGGTTGATATGTCTTTATACATTGAAAAATGGCAACATGCCGGTTCATATGTCTTAATACATTGAAAATGGCAACATGCCGGTTCATATGTCTTTATACAATGAAAAATGGCAACGTGCCGGTTGATATCTCTTTATACATTGAAAAGGGCAACATGCAGGTTCATGTGTCTTTATACATTGAAAATGGCAACATGCCGGTTCATATGTCTTTATACAAAGTACATTGAAAATGGCAACATGCCGGTTCATATGTCTTTATACATTGAAAAATGGCAACGAGCCGGTTGATATGTCTTTATACATTGAAAAATGGCAACGAGCCGTTTGATATTTCTTAATACATTGAAAAATGGCAACGTGCCGGTTGATATCTCTTTATACATTGAAAATGGCAACGTGCCGGTTCATATGTCTTTATACAAAGTACATTGAAAATGGCAAATATACATCTAGTATATCCTTATTGCACAATATGCCAGTTCACATGTCTTTATACATTGAAAATGGCAACATGCCGGTTGATATGTCTTTATACATTGAAAATGGCAACATGCCGGTTAATATGTCTTTATACAATGAAAAATGGCAACGTGCCGGTTGATATCTCTTTATACATTGAAAAGGGCAACATGCCGGTTCATGTGTCTTTATACATTGAAAATGGCAACATGCCGGTTCAAACGTCTTTATACATTGAAAATGGCAACATGCCGGTTCATATGTCTTTATACATTGAAAATGGCAACATGCCGGTTGATATGTCTTTATACATTGAAAAATGGCAACATGCCGGTTCATATGTCTTAATACATTGAAAATGGCAACATGCCGGTTCATATGTCTTTATACATTGAAAAATGGCAACGAGCCGGTTGATATGTCTTTATACATTGAAAAATGGCAACGAGCCGTTTGATATTTCTTAATACATTGAAAAATGGCAACGTGCCGGTTCATATGTCTTATACAAAGTACATTGAAAATGGCAACATGCCGGTTCATATCTCTTTATACAATGAAAATGGCAACGTGCCGGTTGATATTTCTTTATACATTGAAAATGGCAACATGCCGGTTGATATGTCTTTATACATTGAAAATGGCAATATGCCGGTTCATATGTCGTTATACATTGAAAAATGGCAACGAGCTGTTTGATATTTCTTAATACATTGAAAAATGGCAACGTGCCGGTTCATATGTCTTATACAAAGTACATTGAAAATGGCAACATGCCGGTTCATATCTCTTTATACAATGAAAATGGCAACGTGCCGGTTGATATTTCTTTATACATTGAAAATGGCAACATGCCGGTTGATATGTCTTTATACATTGAAAATGGCAATATGCCGGTTCATATGTCTTTATACATTGAAAAATGGCAACGAGCCGTTTGATATTTCTTAATACATTGATTCCATCATATTTAATGATTGTTTGCACTGATTATGGAATTTCTTTGTCTTTGTTACAAGTATGATTATTATTTATGGTTGGTCTTACTTAATTATTATGATATTACATAACTTGTATCATGTTACAAATTCTTGCTCTTATATTTATAATCACATGAATGCCATGCTAAGCATTCAAAGTATGATTCAGATAGTTAAATGTGGAATGTTTTTTGTTGGTAATGTGAAAATAAATTGTTGGCATTAAATTTGATTTGAATAAGTTCCTTTTCCCATTTAGGATTTTTACAGTGGAAGCAGCAGTATGAGAATGTATCTTGTTACAATTTTAATAAAAATTCTAACTCTTATAATTACACGAATGCCATACTAGGCATTCAAAGTTATGATTCAGATAGTTTATGTGTAATGTTTTTTTTTTTTTGGTAATGTGAAAACAAATTATTGGCATTAAATTTGATTTGAATAAGTTCTTCCTTTTCCCATTTAGGATTTTTACAGTGGAAGCAGCAGTATGAGAATGTATCTTGTTACAATTTTAATAAAAATTCTAACTTTAAATTCTAAAAAATTTTAAATTCTGATTTTAATAAGTTTTTCTTTTTTCCCATTTAGGTTTCTTACAGTGGAAGCGACAGAATGAAAGAGAACATAAATGTTCTTTCGTCATCGCCAAGGGAGCTACAGCAACCGAGCAGGTAAGAATGCAAACTTATTATTGTAATCGTAGTGGTTTTTTTGCTTCCAGAGGGTCTGGAAAACGTGCGCAAAAAGCTCAAGGCTCCTGCAAAATTGATGGACATTGTACTGCTGGAATCTGCGCGAAAACATGCATATTGACTGGTACTATTAGCATAGTTGTTATAAATACGCATTATGGTCATGAGATGGATTTGGCTCATCTCAAGTTGAGTCAGGACGAGCGCGTTGCTATTGGTCAAAAACTTTCGCAAGGGATTACTGCAGACAGAATCTTAGATGACATTCGTAATTCACTTTCTGATAGTCTGGAAAGGCACCATCTAGTTACAAAGAAGGATATCAGAAACATTGAGAATGCGCTCGGTCTACATGGAATAAATCGACATGCAAATGACGCGACTAGTGTAGGCATGTGGGTGCAGGAGGTAGCGGAAGATAGCGACAGCAATCCTGTCCTTCTTTACAAGGAACAGGGTGCACATATGAACCGGCATGTTGCCATTTTTCAATGTATAAAGACATATCAACCGGCATGTTGCCATTTTCAATGTATAAAGACATATGAACCGGCATGTTGCCATTTTCAATGTATAAAGACATATGAACCGGCATGTTGCCATTTTCAATGTATAAAGACATATGAACCGGCATGTTGCCATTTTCAATGTATAAAGAAATATCAACCGGCACGTTGCCATTTTTCAATGTATAAACACATATTAACCGGCATGTTGCCATTTTAAATGTATAAAGGCATATGAACCGGCATGTTGCCATTTTCAATGTATTAAGACATATGAACCGGCATGTTGCCATTTTTCAATGTATAAAGACATATCAACCGGCATGTTGCCATTTTCAATGTATAAAGACATATGAACCGGCACGTTGCCATTTTTCATTGTATAAAGACATATGAACCGGCACGTTGCCATATTTTTAATGTATAAAGACATATGAACCGGCATGTTGCCATTTTTCAATGTATAAAGACATATGAACCGGCACGTTGCCATTTTTCATTGTATAAAGACATATCAACCGGCATGTTGCCATTTTCAATGTATTAAGACATATGAACCGGCATGTTGCCATTTTCAATGTATAAAGACATATTAACCTGCATGTTGCCATTTTTCAATGTATAAAGACATATGAACCGGCATGTTGCCATTTTCAATGTATTAAAGACATATGAACCGGCATGTTGCCATTTTCAATGTATAAAGACATATGAACCGGCACGTTGCCGTTTTTAATGTATAAAGACATATGAACGGGCATGTTGCCATTTTCAATGTATAAAGACATATTAACCGGCACGTTGCCATTTTCAATGTATTAAAGACATATGAACCGGCATGTTGCCATTTTCAATGTATAAAGAC